AACACTAATTTTTAACTATCCTATTTATGTAAAAATGTTTAAATAAATACTGCACAAGAATAATCTAACCTGATCGCTAATATAAACTCCGTATACTGTTGAAAATCCTTCAATAAACCAAAGATCAGACTGTCTAAACGGAACTAACCAATCACTAAATATTTCTTGTATCGCAGTACGTGCTACCGAACATGTTGCTTTTCTTTTTTTTATAATGGAATCTACTTCTCTGTCGTATATAATGTTAACTTCACTAAAAATAAAAATAATGGTTACTGCCAGTACATTTTTTTCGATGTGTACAAAGTTATAGTGTAAAAACTCGTTTTTGTATTGAGTTATGCATCTTACCTCAAGAAAACAAATCTAGGAATTACTATATTTTCGTAATGATTTACGGTTATTGGAAGTAGGAAGTAATGAACATATGATTGTGGTATGATATTGTACATGCTTCTGAGAAGTCGGATGATATCAAGCATAAGAGTTNGTGCATAGAATGTGCTATCTTTAGGGATGCTTTCAATAATAACGTTATCTTTTCTTAAAATAGTTGTCTTATATACATTTGGTATGACAATTAATGCAACCGAATGCGTGGATATTAAAGATGTGGTAGAAAATACTTTATAAAGCGTACTGTCAAACGTTTCAGGTATATTTATTAGAGCTGTATCTGTGTTCGTATGTTCAATTCGAATGGTAAATCTAGCCTTGGTAGCTGAATTTTCCCAATATGGAAATATCCATTCAGTAGGAATACGCGATAAAAACAGGAATCTAATAAAAACAAAATTAGAGATAATAATAACACAATAGTACGGCAATAACGTATTACGGTAGATATTACGTTATATAAAATAATAAGTTAAAAATATAATTAGTATTAAAAATATAATAATCATATTTACAAAAACAAACAGAACAAATATAATACTAGAAAAATACAATTCTATTTTTCAGTAAATCACAACGCTGTTTACAAAAAATATATAGTATTAGTAAATGTATTTAGTAAATGTGTTTTTATATTATATTAGTATATAAATTATAGAATAGATTTAGGAATTGTAGTAGATAGGATAAAACCTATAAATATCATATATAGTGAAACATTTTTTGTTGCAATAGTTAAAATTAAAAATATCTGTTGACTAATATTTTCATAATGTAGAAATAAATGGAGTTTAAATAATACATTGTATAATGTGTGCAGCATTATAAATATGTTAGCATGCAATAGCTTTTTATGCACTTACTTTGTTGAGTCACTTTGTTGCATGTATTTCAAACTCATTGCAATTTTTACTAAATTACAGTGATATATCGAATTTATCACGTATTGTCCTGATTTTAGAGTTATGTTTTCTTTTTTTAACAACAAGCCTTTAAAGCCTGTGTGTCTTTGTTTGGTGAGACTAATATCCACATTAGTGAATGGATTTGTGGTAGTATTTGACTGTAATATATTGACTTCCCACTGTGACATAGAGTTATAAAGCAATGCAGGTGCTACGTGCACTTTTTGTATGTTACAATAACGTCCGATTTGTAATCTTATGTATTGTTGTACGCATGACACGTGTAGTACAACAGTGGAATTGACAAATAGAGTAGTGTTTTGTAATTTTAAAAAAATGGTATAATTTATCGGTTGTACACACTGCGATGTCTGAGACAAACTCTTATGAGTAGAAGAAGAAATTCCAATAACAGATATTGAGCATATTATTCCGAAGAATATAAGCATTTGCGTAATGCGTATCTACAAAATTATTTTGTTTAGTGAACGAAAAATACAGATACACAGTAAAACATAAGTATTACCCAAAATATTATAAAAAACGAACGTTTGCAATATCAAATCCACAAACAGCAATTACAGATGTGTGACCATTATGAGTATGTTTATCAGAAAAGATGTTATTTAGTTCTATCACGCAAACACATGACAACACGTATCACGGATGTGGTTTTACCAATCCGACATACGAAGAGACGAATAAAATAGAAAACAAAGTACAGTGTTACTGTATACTACATGTGTTTGATACTATTTGAGATTATTGGAACAAAATTAAATTCAAGAAACTCGTTTAAGGTAGTTCTATCACGAGACAAAAGTTCTGACATAAATTCTAATTTTTTATAGAATATTGTCCGAACCAATCTTCATTTTTGTAAAACAAAAGAACAGTTATTTACCGACCAGTTTAATGAAACAATTTAAGTTGAACAAACATATAAAACATTGAGTATATATAGTATACGCAAATTCTTTGTGTTCGTATGTCTAACTTATAGACTTGAGATCTTTTCCAGAAACTACCAAATATATTTTCAATTTGTTTAAGAAGTAGACATTGAAGAAAATAACAACGTTACCGACCATTTTGATTTAATAAAATGATCTAAATTGATAAATGTCAAACTTGTAACCTGTACGTAGTATAGCCGTCATGTGTGGCAACGCCGCAATTATACTCGATGTGATGTAAAATATTTTTTACAAATAGTTTAATTTATTTCATCAATAATTATATTTTTAGTTATGCATAGTACGCGTTGGTTTCTTGTACATTTTAATTTAAAACTTCTTTTAGCACCCACGAAATCCTACGTNATAAAACTACCTTAATTAGTTTTGAGCGCGTTTTGCATTGCATAANAAACTTATATTGCATAATAAACTTATGGTCCAATACTGACTGTCAGATATTTGCATACGGTTAGAAACGTTTTATTTTGTAACAATTGTAAATTTTCAACAAATATAAGAATATATATATATATATATATACACAAGAATAAGAACTTACCATCTTCTATACAGTGATATTCAATGCATTAAGATATAAATATTGCAAGAAATAGTATTACGAACTTCTAGTACAACGAGATCAAACCCGTAACGATTGCGCGATCTTACCTCTTCGAGATATTCTCGAGAACTAAGAAACGATCGTTTCAGTGGAACAATATCTACGTGCCAGAAAGTAAACATCTGTGTTTCAGAAAACAACCTTATTTTCGTTCTCTTCTATGTACGTGTAGGATGATAGAAAAAGTAGTTTTATATATGTCGTTTTTATGGTTAAATATGAGAATATAATTTTACATACAGACTGTTTTATTTAATAATGAGATAGTTTTCGTCGAAATCTGTACTTGAATTATTGTTCTTAATTTAGAAAATGTAATTTGAAGTATTGTAAATAGGCAGATATTCCACTGATAAAAATGCACAGAATTTGTTTGCTGAATAAATATTCGGAACTGCATTCGAAATCGCTATAATCCAGATTTTATTTTTTCCGTTTTACGCAATAGTTCGCAGTGACTTGCGTGATGTCACGTTCATCGCGTGCGTTGTATTTTTCGGTAGCCTTTCTTTGAAAAAGATGTTGTACGACTTTACAGAGTTGCCTGACAAAAGAAGAGACACGACATAATCATTTAATCGAGATGCAAGAAAAGTGTTGACAGCGAAAATGGTGAAAAACTTTTATGAGTAAAATGGTTTTTCAGGAAAATTTTTTTAGTAAAACTTGTGAAATGATGCAAGATGATTATTTGACATTTATTGTAACTGTAAATGTATAAGTTCAGTTTGTGCAATTTTGTTATTTTGATGAGAATTTTGAAATTACTTGTAATGCATAGTCATACTTGTAACTTATACGACAAATGTCACGTTATCGTAGTACAGTTAAATATGTTTTACAAAAATTTATTACTTATAATTATAAAACCAAAGTGAGTAAATAATTACTAGCCTATGATCTAATAATAATTTGGCAAATATTACTGACAAGAAGAGACGTTGTACCAATCGATTTGAACAAAATTTATAGGATCGATAGATGACTATGTCGAGTATTGTAGGGTAAAGTAATAAGACGCACTCAAGCATTCGCGAGAAAATCAAAACCTTGAAAATTTCAAGTTATCCTATAACGATATTAAATAGATCGTTTAATCGAACATCGCGTAGCGTAGTGGTAGCGTACTTGATTAGTAACGTTACCGCTGCTAGTTCGAATCTCGATATACTTTTTTTTCTCTTCAAAATTCTACAATATAATCTAAATGTAATTTGTTTATTCTAAATATAACGTTTTTTTTATTTATTGCATGTTATAAAAGCACATTTTTTTGCATAAATACTGTGTGATTTGAAAAATATAGTAAAAATAAATAGATTATTATAATACTAATTACTAATTGTGTTCATAAAAAGCGGATAAATAAGTAATATCAACCGTGTGACGTTTATTTTTATAGACAAGTCAAAACTTTTGACGCTTAAACGCTTTTTAGAAAGCGTTTGCAGAATTGTTCAACTTTACTAGAACAAAACCGCAAAATAACATCTCGTGAAGATTGCATAAAAATTCATTCAATCATACATCATCAATTGTCCGCCTCGAGTTTTCGAAATATGTTACAATATACATGGTATCCCTTACGAAAAAGAACTACTGCCGATTACATATAAATAGAGTCAATAATATAAATATTATTGACAATTACATAAAAATATTATTAGGTATTACAGAGATCACTGAGAATATTAGGTACTTGCAATTACACAGAATGCCAGTAATTTTTTCGTATCACTGCCGCAATATATTACTGCCAGTAGTTCCTTTTTGTAAAAGATGCTTCCAAATTAACAAACAAGAGAAAGATATTTATGAATGTCAACGAAGTATGTTTTCGAATAAATATTTTAAAGAAAAAATCATGTGAATGTAAAACTACAGCGTTCAATACGATGTGCATACTCGTGAAAATTATTGTTTACTTCACTTGTTTTTATGACAAATATCATCCTGCATTATGTATTGTCCCATCTAGTTCCAATAACTAAAACATGTTGCGTATATTTTTACATGTTGCATATAATTAATTATCCGCTTTTTATGAACACAAATAGTAATTAGTACAAATCTAATTTTTTTTACCGTATTTTATAAATCACAGAATTTTTATGCAAAAAATGCACTTTTATAACATGCAATAAATAAAAAAACGTTACGTTTAGAATAAACAAAATACTTACATTTAAATTCTATTGTACAATTTTGAAGAGAAAAAAAAGTATATCAACATTCAAACCAGCAGCGTCGACATTACTAAGTACGCTACCGCTACGCTACGCGATCTTCTATTAAGCGATCTAATTAATATCTTTATAAGGTAACTCAAAATTTATAAATTCAATTTTCTCGCAAATGCTTGAGTAGTGCATCTTCTTACTTTACCCTGCAATATTCCACAAAGTCATCTATCAATCCTATAAATTTTGTCCAAATCGATTGGTACTACGTCGTAGTCTCCTCTTGTGAGAATTATTAGATAATTAATAAGAACTTATTTCTGATAGTAGATTACTGAATAAATTATTGTTAGCGTTTGCAGAAAAATTTGTTTGAGATTTATTCGAAAATCAGGTAAATTTTTTCAAAATATATTGGATTTTCTTTGGAAATGTTATATCGATTTCAGTTGGTAATGTAACGCTTTGCGATTAAAAATCAAAAATTAGATTCTATCTAAAATCCAAAGCAAAAGTTTTACTAAAAGAAAACAAATATCACTGGCACATCAGTTTTTGGAAGAGAAATTAATTCGAGATTTCACTCAAATTAAGTTTTAGAGGCGATTCATCTCGCCGATCGACCGATGAACTCCATGGAAAAGAACCAGACCTAGAAAAACCTTAAAGATGATTTCAACTCGACGTCTCCATATTCGCAACCCCCTTACTCAGTCCGCGAGACCACTTGTTCTTTAATAAATCGTAATTATTTTTATTTACTTATTCTCAAGCTATCTTACACATTTTATTTTATCTATTTAAATTATTATTTTCTTACAACTATTGCAGTGCAATATACCTGCAACAATGGATAAAAATATTTCTGTTATTGTATTATTATAAATGTGCCAGTAAATTTCGTCACAGCTAACTCATTGAGTCAATGATTTATTATAGAGCTTCAGAACTTAGTTTATTCTGCAGCCATATTACTGAGTCGGTGATTCATCATTGAGTCTGAGTAATCACATAGTTTCCTTTACTTAGCAAGTAATTCATTACATAATCTCTCAATGATTCTTCAGTAATTTATTGCACGACTCAATTACTGGTCCAGTAAGAATCCAGAAGAAGCATTCAAAAAGTATCAAACACACATACTACAGTTACTAACCTACTAAAAATTAGTGACACAGTAGTAAGTAAAGTACTAAAAATCACTGCGATTTAATGATTAAATTACTTAGCGACAATCATTAATCACTGATGCCTCAATAATACTTTTCTGTAAGTGATAAACACAGTTACACATAATACTTGCCAAAAAAACATATGTACCTTAAGTAATATACATCACATTTTATTTAATAATGTGTCGAAAATTGTACTTTTTCTTTACAGCGATGTAAAAGAGACTACTGAATCTGTGAAAGCGCTCATAAAACGCTGGATTACTGAAGTACATTCGGAGCTTTATGCTTTGTTTAAACAAATTACCAAAAAAAGCAATACATAAAGTCCTACATAGATATATGTATTTTGTAAAGTGATAGCTTGACTGCAAAATGCAGAAGATTTTCCTTATCAAAAAAGACGCATTGGACGCCGTCGAGAGACACAAATCGCAAATAGACCCCGCAAAGTTTCTCGGGCTATCTTCATAAAGAAATAAAAATCGTGTAGCTGCTTTAAATAGGCAGAATATTATTTGCGAACAACTCAGCTAAGTGTCATCAGCTATTGACAAAGCTATATATTGACTTTTACGAGCGATACGAAGTCACGTGAGCTGTCGACTGCCTGCCGCATTGAAGTCGGCAAAGACTTTGTAAGAAATATATTATAACTGTAAGGAATAAATCCTTTGTATCTCAACGGCTAAATTTTGAACATGTTTTCTGATCGACAAGACTCTGATAAACAGCGATAGCGACTGTTTATGATTCCCGGACAGAGGTGACAAGCTTACTTGGGAACACGAAGAGAGTAGTCAAAAACCAAGCTCCGACAAAAAAAGAACCCGCACACAATCGGCTTATAGACAAACTGTACTTATATTTGTTACTTAGTAAATTATCTGATAGTGACTGTTTAATAGAAGAACATTAGATAATGGTTTTTTTTATTCGAGTCTCCTTTGTAGCTGCAAAATTACTTACAACTTGCAATACAGTGATTCCGAACGAATTCTGATTCGCCACACATAGCGCGTCAGAACTTCCATTCATAAAACACTATAGCGTCAATATATTGAAATTTCACGACTTTTTAGCACATCTGTCGTTTTTAGAAACTTATAGTCTTTTATAGAAAATCTGTATTGACTTGTCACTTGTCGAAATTCCTTATCCTTTGCTACTGAAATTATTGAATAATCGCGATTAAAAAATCTGTACATATTGACGATCTCTATGTACTTCGAATCTATTTGTTATCATATAACAAACTTGCATTACCTTGTCTTAATGTATGACGCGAGAACGTTTGTCAAATAGTACATATCGATATCGTTGTATTCGTTAGAAATAAGCAAAGTTTATTCTTTTGTTATTTTGTTTAGGTTTTCCGTTTCTTTTATACGTGATTTCTTTTCTTGTACATCATTGTTTGAATTAAAGTCTTGTCACTTATACTGAATTTGTTACTAAGAGAGTATTTAGCTTCTTTATTTCGTTTGCAACTGTCTTATCATCAAAATCTTGAAGAAAACACCGTTATTAGTTTGCATTTTTTTAATAGATTGTGCTATATATAGTTTGTGAGCTATATTTGTGCTATATATATATATATATATAGAAACATGTATGATATCTATAAAAATAAACAAAGTAAGGTATTTGCTCTATATGTATATATTACTAGTACAATTACGCACAGTACTCACTCAACATCCTTTTTACAATATTGCAGACAGATCTGTTTGAATTACTGAATTTTAAAAGAAACTCAAAGTTGGGAAGCTTGACACAAGAAAAAATGTATCTCACAAGAAGCAAGAAAAACAAAGCTACATCAAATATGCTAACACATTGAGTGAAAAGTGCAACTAACTTTGTCATTGTTTTATGTTTTATTGTTGTTTGTGCACGTTACACATAAAGTGTCTCGTGTTTACTTTTGTTACTCGCTCACGCGTAAAAGAAACTATCGCAAATATTGTATAAAGATGTTCTGATTTTGTTTCCTTTTTTTTAAATAAGCAATCTACCAAATGTGACATAATTGTAAAGGCACATGGTAATTTTGAATATCGCATAAGACATAAGAGAATCAATCAATCAGAACCTTCCAGAACAAGATACAGAGTGAAAGGATCTCATTGATTCTCTTCTGTCTTATGCGTAACCAGTATACAAATATTAATACTTCGGCTCTAAAAAAGTAACAATAACGTATTCTCTCTCTGTCTCTTCTTTGCTAAAAATTATGTACCATTACTAACTTACTTTGAGTAACGTAATCACATTTCCGTTTTTACTTAATAGTGCTTCTAAGAAACAATTGCGGTTGGAATATACACTAAAGGTCGTTGTTCTACATTAGTCGCAAAACGCAAATTAAATAAGAGACGTAAATGCATGCATATAAACGTGTTCACAACAGAACTTTTTGAAAACAATTGCATAATGTAAGAAACTAAGGAAACGTTAGGAAGTAATACGATACTTTTAATGCAACTAATATTTTTATTATAACTAAATTGTAAAAACTAATTTTTTTAGAACAAACATAAGAACCTCTAACTTATCACTAACATTTTGGAAATACTGACTTCGTAATTGTTATATTCTCACATAACACTGAATGGTATTGCATGATATCATCTTTTCTCTTACATTATATAAATTTTTATATCTAAATACTTTGACTTTATGTATAACGTGAGATGGATATATTTATATTTATGTGCGCAATACTTAACTATGCATATATGTAGAAGCCGGCGCGTAATATAAATAATGTATTTTATTGAAGAAAGAAATTTATTTTATGGATAACACTGTACTAACTATTAACTATTAAAATCCGAAACGTATCTTTTCGATTTTAGCTATAATTAGTAAGTCGATTTTGTTATCATAAAATAAGTCTTACTTAAAAAACACAAGATTTGGACACGACAAATCAGTAGAAATTTTCATCTAAAAGATTTCGGTTACAAACTATAAACTGTAAGAAAAACAAAGATATACATACAATGGTCTATTATAAAAAGAAAACTTATTCACAGCCAGCAATCGACACTACGTAGTAGCGTATGTAATTAAAACTATAATGTGGCTCACAATAAAGCGTAGTTTCCATGTTAACCAAAAACTCACGTCGAATTTCAACTTTTTTGTTAATGGCATCGAGAACAAATGATTCCTAAAACAGATTACAAAATATATTTATAATACAATCCTGTATACTTGTGTATAAATTTTATAAGAATTACGGGATATACTTTTACTAGAAATAATATTTATCTAACAAATATAAACAATAAGTTTTATTTGAAGAAAGAGAAAAAGTAACCCCCGATTTCAAACAAAATAGTAAAATAATACTTTTAATAATCTATACATACATTTACCATGTGATGCATATGCAGCAATTTCTTTAAGAATATTTTGTTACCAATCTGAAAAAAACATGTAGTATTGTCACTTAGTGTGATTTCCTTACATCGTGTAGCACTATTCAATAATATGACCTCCGGAGAAAATAAAACATCATGTGATCATATACAATTATATGTAAATCGGATGTAATTATGTATGATCGTATAAACATTTAGATAAGTCGAATATGATTTTATATAAATTGAATATGTATTTATGCGATCGTGTAAAATCAGATTTCAAATTTAGCGCAATCTGATTTTATAGGATCATATATAAATACATAAAAGTATGTACGATAGTATATAATTTCTTATATTTATATATGACCTTATAAAATCAGATCGCGTCAAATTTCAGATTTGATTTTACACGATCACATAGAATCATATCCAACTTATATAAAATCATATTCGACTCATATATATAAGTGTACACGATCATACAAAATTGCATCCGACTCACATATACTCCTATATGACTTTCCATTGTTTCATGAGAAATTATTCTTTCCTTATATCAAAAGCAGGTATGAATCTAGACAACACTATACCTCTTTACATTTTTTAGTATATACATACATATATACAGGGTATCCGACAATTAGTGTAAAATCTCTCGTAGGCAGATAGAAGAAGTAAACCTGAGTCAAAAAGTCCTAAATTATCTTTTTTTATTACGAATAATAATGAAATACTTAGAGAATAAATCAAGCTACTCAGCGCCGACCTTTAACCGGACGCTCGCATATGAGCCGCGTGGAACGCTTACGCACACCAGGCGCGTGGTTGATTATTTACTAATTACTTTTTTATTACATGTAACCGAGAAAAATGTTTCTCGACTTTTTGGAACAAGTTTACTCCTTCTACCTGCCTACGAGAGATTTTACACTAATTGTTGGACACCCTATGTATATATGTAACCAATACAAACATACTGTTGTACATATATAACTACAAAAAATAAAGAAGATCATACAACATACCATTGACAGGCCGTCGTCTGAATATATGTTATTAATAATACAATTTATTATTGCTAATATGTTCACGTCTCTAAAAAACAAATAACAGATTTTCATACGTAAAATTACTTATACATTATACAATATAAAATGAGACACCACTGTTTGTCCCGAGAATAAAGGTATTATCAAAAATATACAGATTATGTAAAGAAGATATTCGTTTTGCTGCATAGAAATGCTTATACATACAAAATAATTTTTTTACCTTCCTATTCCATTTTCTAGTCCGATTCGTATAACATCAAGCGCTGACATATTTTTCGAATGCATAGCAAAAATATTAAAAAGTAAAGTAACAGTAACACTTTTCTTTTCATGTACAATTTCTTTGTAAAATTCACCATTGTCTGCATTTAAACTACTTGTACGTATTAGTAAAGAATTACGATGAAGAACCGAGAGAAAAGCCAACAGATTCTTATACTGTTTAAAGCAAGGTAAGAATTCGAAAAGTTGTTCTAGTTTCCCTTGTGTCTGGTATATCTTGACTATATCTTGCCACACAGCAGATGTTTCATAAGAAACAGTGTCTAACATTAGTCTTTGGCAATATATCCACTTCTGCCAACTTGGCAACAGTCTGCAAGAAAAAAATATATTATCCCAGATAGTCAAATGTGAAAACTCAATATAAAGCAAATCATTGCTTAGATTAAGGTGCTCGCCAATTGCCATTGTGTTTTTTTATTAAATGCAACAAAAATGTTTTTGTTAATTTAGTATCAATATGGTGAGTTTTATTGTCAATTAATTGTTGTAGACAATGTTTATGACAAGTGACTGAGCAATATGTGAGCAATATGGTAGCAATGAATTTTATTCGTAAGTAGAAAAATAATATAAGTTTATTGTTAATGAGGTGTTGGAAACTTGCTGTTATTATGTTTTGAAGACCGTTGCTGGCAAGAACGTAATGAAAACAAAATACACTCTTTTCTTACAGTGCTAAAAACTTCTCCGTGATAAGAAAACATTTACAAAATTATGTGACAAACTTTTGCACTAAACTTGTAATTTGCACTAATACAGATATATTTTAGGAAATAGATGTAAATCATTGATCGTTTATAAAATATTTGTAATTGTTTGCAACTATATTTTGCAAATATTATTTCGGCAAAAAAATAACGATATGGCGAATTATCTTAGCAGTATATTTGCAAAATTAATTTCAAAAAAAATTGTCCAATAAGTGAGAAAAAAATTTCAGTTATGTGATGTTTAAAATGTATAGTAATATAATTGCATATGAAGAAATCAACGTAATTTATGCATATACTTATGGAAATGCATATCGACTTTTTTGCAAATTTTGACAAATATTTACAAAATTTTATTACGACAAAACTGTTAAGTTATAGCGAATCATCTAAGTGCAATCATTGCAGAATCGTCGTTATTCGTGATCGTCATTATTCATTTTTGTACAACATTTTCACATTTTGCCTATAAGGGATGAGCAATATTTGTGGCAAGTTACCAACAATTTGCACTCAGTTGGCTATCTAGGACTTTACTTAAATAAATATAACTCTTCTTAAAGTCTAATCCATTAGTGTTATTCCATGTATATAAGTCCAGTAGCACGGTAAGATCTTTGTGACTTCAACGGACGTCAAGTTGCTATTGAGAAAATAGAATAACGTACTTGTTTTGTGTAGGATGTTTAAAATGCCAGTTTATTATTCCATTAACATGTTCTTTGCACTTTACACTACCAAGGATGCATGTCCATTTTAAAACTTCATGATAGAATTGATTATTGGCACTATTTTCCGAAGAATGTTTACATGATATGTCACCAAGAAACTTATTCAATATTTCCAGGAGTTTATTCTATAAAAGCAAAAGATGTCATCTTGTAACATAGTGTTAATTTCCAAGTGTCTTTAATATATAATTATTTAACAATATCTTTGTGTTACTTAGTGTTCCATATCTAAACTATTATAAATTCTACTAGTTTTGTGACATCTTAATATATAGCGATTTTTTTTATTCTTTTTTAAGGTATATGTATGTTTATAAAAATTACAAAGTTATTTTTTTTATTGAATATTTACATGTATTGGTGATAGTTTTTATAAAACTTACCATTTTAAACAAAAAATATCGAAAATGATGTGTGAAGAGTAGCTCCAAAAATTTATAAAACAAATGAAGGTTTGAGATGGTGGCAGTTTGAAGCAAAACACAAGTGGAGTAGTGTAAAAAAATTCTTGTATTAATGTAAAACGTTTTCGACCACTGGTTTAGGTCATTTTCAATACAAAAAAGTCGTAGTTTGTCACCTGCGAGTTGAGGCCATCACGATTCTTTTGGCTCTGAACATCTATTTCACTTTCAGATGACATTTTTTTGTATTAAAAATGACCTAAACCAGTGGTCGAAAACGTTTTACATTAATACAAGAATTTTTTTACACTACTCCACCTGTGTTTTGCTTCAAACTGCCACCATCTCAAACCTTCATTTGTTTTAAAAAATATCGAATGTTTGTTGTTCGAGATAGCACTCGTATACTATAGTCTTTATAATGCCAAAACAACAAATATTACACTATCGTAAACGATACATTTGTACAACACAATATATCATCGGTTTTTTATGTGCAGTTCATTTATAAACAAAAAATAGATAGGCCACAAAAAAATTACATTGCGAAGAAAACTGTATTTAAATTTTTCAAAGTTTTAAAACTTTGCAAATCGTATGTACTTAGCAATTATATAGCACTTCTATAGAGTATCTTTTTAACTATAATGACGTGGCTGTCTATGACTGTGGATTTGTATGTTTGTAACATTCTATTTATGTTCTTATGTATATTTGTTATGTTATCGGCTAAGATTACACAAGTGTGTACACCTGTTTTCTAGTATATGTATATGTATATGTACATGTACAAAGGCTTCAAAGGAACCCTTTATCTTTGAAAATATATATTTTTGATTAAATTTTAAGACATCATTTTATTTGACAAAACTTTGTCTGAAGCTTCCTTTTTGAGTTATGAATAAAAATAGGTGACGTACCACGAGTCGGATACGAGAAGAGAGTAAGGATATTTTATAAATATATATTATATAAATATATTATAAATAATGTGCAGAAGCGGCGCAACTCAACGTGAGTGACAGTAATTTATGTACCACACGGATTAATTAATACAAATTACGAATGAAGAAATAAATAACTGAGAGAAAAAAAGAGAAAAAGAAAGAGACACAGAGAAAACTACAAAAACAGTGTGTATCGCTTAGCTGATCGCGTCAGGCAGCATAACCTGATAGGAAACCATTTACAAACTTATGTGACAAAATCTTGCACTAAAATTATAATTTGCAATTATACAGACATATTTTAGGAAATAAATGTAAATACATTGATCTTTTCTGAATTATTTGTAGTTGTTTGCAAAATTACTTTCCACATACTATTTTGGCAAAAGAATAATGATATGGCGAATCATCTTAGTGCAATCATTGCAAAATTGTCGCCATTCATGATGTTATTTTTGTGCAATATTTTTACAAATGTGTCTATTAGGGTACGTAATTGCTCGCGTCTGATGCTGAGTTGTGTCCTGCATACTTCTTGTATCCGACTCATGGTAGATCAAATATTTTTATTAATAACTCAAAATGTAAGCTTCAGATATAGTTTTTTCAAATAAAAAAGTGTCTTAGAATTTAGGTGTCTAGAATATGTATTTTCAAGAATAACGAAGTGATCTGACTCACTTTGTATATATGTGTATATAGTATATACAAGGTATTTGGTAGTTGCCGTCTTACCACTCGTAGGTAGGTGACGAGAAGTCTGCGAAGAAGGTATCGCTTACGTGCAAAGAAGAAAAATAATCATTATCACTTTAAGATATGTATTTAACACTTATATATATATGTCATACATTTTACTGTCAGATTCAATTCACTTAAATGCATTATAAGAAATTTATCATGTAGTGTAGTTTTGTCACCTTATTGCATATTGTGTCGGTATAACCTTAAACTCTCTTTAATTTTATATTTTTTAATATGAGACATTTAGCCGCTTTTACTGAGGCACTTTATATTAGGAACTGCTAAGTCCTTTATTCTATCAAGTTTTTTAGTTGATGTATCAGTACGTTTTTAGTAATCATATTTTTAAATGAAAGCAAAGAAGAAGCAATCGTGGTCTCACAGTCAATCAAAGGCTGTTACGGCAGTAACAAGCAGAAAAAGAAAATATTTATATTATTATTCTTTGCTTCTATCTAAAAATATGATTACTAAAAACGTACTGATACATCAACTAAAAAACTTGACAAAAGAAAGGACTGAACGATTCCTAATAAAGTGCCTCATTAAAAGCGGCTACATGTCTCATATTAAAAAATATAAAATTAAAGAAAGTTTTAGTTTATACCGACACAATATGCAATACATTGACAAAACTACACTACATGATAAATCTCTTATAATGCATTTGAGTGAATTGAACCTGACAGTAACTTTTATGACATATATATATAAGTGTTAAATACATATCTTAAAGTGATAAAGATTATTTTTCTCCTCTATATGTATATATATGTACAGAGTGTCCTAGAATTACCGTACACTCTTTCGTAGGCAGATAGAAGAATTAAAACTGGATCGAAAAGTCCTGAACCATTTTTTTCTATTTCTTAAAATAAAGGAGTAATTATTGAGTAAATTAGGCCTCTCTCTATCAATGCCAATCTTTAGCCAGGCGCACGTCAGTCAACCACGCGTCTGGTGTGTGTAAGCGCTCCGCGCGGCTCATTAATGTGCGTTCGGCTAAAAGTTGGCACTGATTGGCTTGATTTATTCAATAATTACTCCTTTATTATATGTAAGAGAAAAAAATAATTCAGGACTTTTCACCTCAGTTTTACTCCTTCTACTTGCCTACAAGAGATTGTACGGCAATTCTGAGACACTCTTTATGTATAGTATATGTATATACAGGGAGTCCCAGAATTGGTTTAACATCTCTCGTAGGCAGGTAGAAGGAATAAAACTGAGGTGAAAAGTCCTATACCATTTTGCTAGATTTGCAATAGTTACTGAGATTTTAATTAACAAAGATTCGCGAATAAGCATGAATCGGGCTGTCTTACACGCGCAAGACTGCCCGCCGCGCTTCGCGCGCTAACGGTGTTACCCATAGCGACATATGGGAGGAGCTAATATAACAGCATATACTATTACATATACATATTAAAATGTAATTGTGTGAAGCGCGCCGGGCTGTCCTACGCGCGTAAGACAGCCCGATGATCGCTTATTCGCGGATCTTTGTTAATTAAAATCTCGGTAACTATTGCGAATCTAGCAAAATGGTATAGGACTTTTATATATATATATATATATATATATATATTAAAATTTATTTTTCTAACTTTTTTTATTTTCTAGTTCACGATGAGCTTGCAATCATCTACTTTCGTAATGTACTAAATGTATTATTATTTACCTTGATATTTCTTGAAAGAACACTTTCTGGGAACGGAACAATCTTCGACATGTTTTCAAGTGCAATAAGTACAGGATACCACGCTGTATAGGAATTGTTTACATGAAATATACTGCTTGCAAGTTCAAGATATACGTCCAGATCAATTTTATCTGGACCATAATTTTCGTTATATATTGTATTTTGCACCAAAAAATAAAAAGCATCGTCGAGAAGTTGTGCTAAAGTGACGTCAGACAATTCTGCGATCTTAGACCCTCCGGTTTTAAGAAAAAGAGAAATGTCCTTCCAAGACTGACGATCATAGTTTACGCGATATCCTACGACAAAAAAAGTATTTAAAGAGTCAAAATAAGAAAAAGCGAAAAACAACCAATATAATAGTAGCATTAACTGTAACATAGTGAAAAAATAGTGAAAAAATAGTGAAAAGATTTACTCTATACAAGGTGTCCCAGAATTGGTTAACCATTTCTCGTAGACAGAACGAAGGACTAAACCTGAGTCAAAAAATCTTATACCATTTTGCTAAATTCGCAATAATTACTGAGATCGTAATTACCAAAGATGCGCAAATTAGCATGCAAATAAGCAATTACCAAATATGCAAATAAGCATCGGGCTATCTTATGCAAGTAAGACAGCCCAGTGAGTTTCGCGCGCTTACGATATTGTTCGTAGCAACATATGGAAGAAGCTAATATTTCAGCATATACTATGACATACAATGTAATCGTGTTTAACGCGCCGGGCTGTCTTACGTGTGTACGACAGAAATGATACACCAATTCTGGAACACACTGTATATATACATATATATAGTATATATAATAAATAAAAAACTCATAATCACATTACCTAAGTGGTCCACGACAATGGTAGTCTGATTTTCATGAANTAGCGATAAAAACAGTTTACTGTCTGGTTTTAAGATTAGATAATGGNTGGCAAGAACTTGTGTGTGTAATAATTTTTTAAGGGTCACAGGTATCCACCANTTTTGTTTGCACAGCATTTTGACAGTGGAATTAACGTCAAAACAGTCTATAATCATTGCTGACTGTATATTATCGTGTCGGTCTACTTGTACCACAGGATAGCCACTTTGTGCTGTCCATGAAGTTATCATATTTTTGATATCTGACGATTTTATGTATGAAACATTTTTATATAAAGAATACGTCTCAAAATTTCTATTCCATAACTTATCAAGAAGTGACAAGTTGATGTACGTGTTGTTTGATGTATTATTCCTGATAACAAGTATAATATAATTATAATACAAAATATAGGAGTAGTGCTTGCTGTAAAGTATACAAATAATATTTAATGTTTGTTATAAGGTATGATGGCTTTAGTAATATATAATGTGAAAAATTATTAATTAAAAATTGTCGAAATTCTTTGTACTCCAATGATTTATATATACTCACGTGTTATAATATAAGTGTACGGCTTCTTGAAATACAGAAGTATATAGAAAATCTTGTTGAAAGACGGTATTCAGCATATATAAAGTACTGAATGCTAGAACATAATTCATAATGTTGAAGTTTTGAAAGTTTATGTAAAAAAAAATTATAATAAATAATACGTTTACACAAATTGAAACTTATTTACATCTAACACACATAAAAATTTAAATTTTATATTGTTATTTATATATATTTCATAACGTTAGGTTTTACATTTTTCATCTGTTCGTATAATTTTCAGTAAACACAAAATAACAGTAAGGTATTAATTGTTATAATTTCCCACTTAACAATGTAATTGTGATGATACACGCTTTGTACGTAGCAGTTATATTAGTGAGTGTAAAATTATACCATTAATTACGTTACGTTTTACTTTGTGTTTACTCTCTGGTATTACACTAACACTTTAATAATACTTCTATTCTTTGACCTACATATTCACACAATATCATCAAGCTTTCTAGAAGAGTTTGTTTTATCTGGTTTGTACTACAAGTACAAATACAAATTACAATATTTATAAATAATTATTGTTTGTTTACATATAAAAGTACCACAAATATTATATCACGTATTATATTTGTTGATTTGAAAATTGTTAATCGATTTGGATTTTATCATATTTCAAACTACATGAGATATAAAAGCTTCCAATATAAGTAAGGCACAAGGTTTTAAGTACAATTAACACAGTTTTATTTTGTATTAACAATTATAATGTCTGTCGCAATAAAGCGACACATGTTTCAGACGTCGTAAAAAGCAAACTACGACCAAACTCCAAAAGTGTTCATTTGCACTAAACATAGTAAAGATAATGAATAGCTGCAACTTTTTACAGTATTTTTAGGTTTTGCATTATTTTTAAAAGATATAGAGTAAGATCTGATACTTCTTGGCCTATCATGTTGTAAACGTTGAGTTAAAAAAATAAGAGTACTCAATAAATTTCTGGTTCTTTACCTTTTTCTCGCCACAGTTTAGTAAGAGTTGAATTGCGTGATATGAGTGAATTTTCTCGAAATGGAGATTCATTTGTAATTGCTTCTATATAATCAAGAAATATCCGTCGTGTTTGGACCACAATCGACTTTAGTAAAGATGTATTGTAATACTATCAAGAAAACAAAGTAAGGTAAAATATATTTTGATGATGATTACATACTTAATCATCTCAGATACTATGTAAGTAATGCATTAGTGTAATAAATTTCCTGTGTTTTCACAAATCTTTTTAATCAAGAATATCACCAAGAGCTATATTAGTAAATTGATGATATTCTTGATTAAAAAGTTAAGTGAAAACACAAGAAATCTAGTAGCAAAATGAGGAAAAAAGTATGTAAATTATTTTCCACACACAAACATTATATATACATATGTTATCATATTTTAATACTAATATGTCATACTGCGTATCATTTCAAAAAAACTAAAAAATGAATACATTAATATCAATGTAAACGGTCCACATTATTTATAAAAAGAACACTGGTTTTTAACTATCCTATTTATGTAAAAATGTTTAAATAAAAACTGCATAAGAATAATCTAACCTGATCGCTAATATAAACTCCGTATACTGTTGAAAATCCTTCAATAAACCAAAGATCAGACTGTCTAAACGGAACTAACCAATCACTAAACATTTCTTGTATCACACTACGTGCTACCGAACATGTTGCTTTTCTTTCTTTTATAATAGAATCTACTTCTCTGTCGTATATAATGTTAACTTTACTAAAAATAAAAATAATTGTTACTGCAAGTACATTTTTCTCAGCGTGTACAGAGTTATAGTTTAGAAACTCGTTTTTGTATTGAGTTATGCTTCTTACCTTAAAAAAACAAACCTAGGAAGAACTACATTGTCGTAATGAGTTAAGCTTATTGGAAGTAGTACGTAATAAACATATGAATGTGGTATGATATTGTACCACATGCTTTTGGGAAGTCTGACGATATCAAGTATAAGAGTTCGTGCATAGAATGTGCTATCTTTTAGGTTTAAGCTGCTTGTAATAATAATTTTATTAAGGTAATTACCTTCTATTAAGATAGTAGTCTTATTCTTCGGTAAAACAACTAATGCAACCGAATGCGTAGATATTAAAGATGTTGTAGAAAATACGCTATACCGCGTATTTGTTTTAAAAGTTTCAGGTATATTTACTAGAGCTGTATTAGTATGTTTAATATGAATGATAAATCTAGCTTTGGTAGCTGGATTTTGCCAATATGGAAATATCCATTCAGTAGGAATACGCGATAAAAACAGAAATCTAATAAAAACAAAATCAGTTATACCAACATCACAATAGTACGGTAAGAAAAAATAATAACTTATTATTAAAAGTATAAAAATCATTTTTACAAAAACAAACAGAACACATGTAGTACTAAAAGAATACAATTCTATTTAGTAAATATAACAACGCTGTTTACAAAACTATATAGTATTATTAAATGTATTTAGTAACTGTCTTTGTATTATATTAATATATAAACTATAGAATTGATTTAAGAATTGTATTAGATAAAGTAAAACTTAGTAATATCATATATAGTAAAACATTTTTGGTTGCACTATTTAAAATTAAAAATATCTGCTGACTAATATTTTGATAATGTAGAAATAGATGTAGTTTAAATATGAAATTGTATAATGTTTGCCGCATTATAAATATGTTAGCACGCAATAGATTTTTATGCACTTACTCGTTTGTTACACTTTGGTTCATGTATGTAAAAACCATGGCAATTTCTTTTAAGGTACAGTTATACATTGAATTTATCACGTATTTTCCAGGTAGTATCGGTACTTTTTCCTTTCGTCCCGCACGACATACAGGGCCTCTGCACTGTTGTTTGGGGAAATTAATATCTACATTTTTGAATCGACTTTTGGTAGTATTTGACTGTGATATAATCACTTCCGAATGTGGTATAGACATATAGAGCTTTGCAGTTTTAATATTTAAATCTTGTATATTACAATAACGTCCAATTTGTAATTTGATGTATTGCTGGTCGCATGACACGTTTAGTACAACAGTGGAATTGACAAAAAGTGTAGTGTCTTGTATGTCTAAGAACATAGTATAATTTATCGGGTGTACACACTGCGATGTCTGAGACAAATTCTCATCAATAGAAGAAGCTATTCCAATAACAGATATTGAGCATAGTGTTCCGAAGATTATAAGCATTTGCGTAATGCGTGCCTACAAAATTATTTTGTTTGTTAAATGAGAAATACACACACACATTAAAACAAAAGTAATACACAAAATATTATAAAACAACAAACGTTTGCAATATCAAATGCACAAACAGCAATTACAGATGTGTGACCATTATGAGTATGTTTATCAGAAAAGATGTTATTTAGTTCTATCACGCACACACATCACAACACGTATCACGGATGTAGTTTTACAAATCCGCCATACAAAGAGACGAATAAGAAAACAAAGTACAGTTTTACTGTATACTCCATGTGTTCGACAATATTTGACATTTTTGCAACAAAACTAAATTCGAGAAACCTGTTTAAGGTAGTTCTATCACGAGACAAAAGTTCTGACATAAATTCTAATATTTTATATACTATTGTCTAAACCAATCTTCATTTTTTTAAAACAAAATAACAGGTGATTAACGACCACTTTACTGAAACATATTAAGTTGAATAAAGATATAAAACATTGACATATGTAGTATACGTAAATTCTTTGTGTGTTCGTATTGTGTGTGTGAGGTGATCTAATATAATAGAACTGAATAGATCGAAAGTAGATCAAATACTAAATAAAAGTGTAAATTTCCATAAATCTATTTATATTTATTTAAATTTACTTTATATTTATTTAGATCTACTTTATATCTATTTAGATTTAATTTGGATCTAATTAGATCTATTTTTCCATTTTTTTTATTTCGTTAAATTTAAGTTAGGTCTAATCCATTTCTTCTCAAGTAGACTTGAGATCTTTTCCAAAAATTACCAAATATATTTTCAAACTGTCTACTAAGTAGACATTGAAAACAATACCAACGTTAACGACCATTTTGATTTAATAAATTGATCTAAACTGATAAATGTCAAAATTTTAACCTGTACGTAGTATAGCCGCCATATGTGGCAACGCCGCAATTATACTCAATGTGATGTAAAATAGTTTAACTTCTTTCATTAATAATTATATTTTTAGTTATGCATAGTACGCGATTTTTCTTGTAACTTTTAATAAACCGCTTTAAGCACTCACGAAAGCTGGCCCTACGTGATAGAACTACCTTAATTAGTTTTAAGCGCGTTTTGCATTGCATAATAAACTTATGGTTCGATATTGACTGTCAGATATTTGCATACGATTAGAAACGTTATATTTTATAACACTTGTAAATATTCAACAAATATAAGAAAACAAAGGAGTAAGAACTTACCATCTTCTATACAGTGATATCCAATGCATTAAGATGTAAATCTTGCAAGATATATGACTGCGAACTTCTAGTACAACGAGATCAAAAACGTAACGCTTGCGCGATTTTACCTCTTCGAGATATTCTCGAGAACTAAGAAACGATCGTTTCAGTGGAACAATATCTACGTGCCAGAAAGTAAACATCTGTGTTTCGGAAAACGACCTTATTTTCGTTCTCTTCTATGTACGTGTATGATGATAGAAAAAGTGGTTTTATATATGTCGTTTTCATGGTTAAATATGAGAATATAATTTTACATACAGACTGTTTTATTTAATAATGAGATAGTTTTCGTCGAAATCTGTACTTGAATTATCGTTCTTAATTTAGAAAATTTAATTTGAAATATTGTAAATAGGCAGATATTTCACTGATAAAAATGCACAGAATTTGTTTGCTGAATAAATATTCGGAACTGCATTCGAAATCGCTATCCAGATTTTATTTTTTCCGTTTTACGCAAAAGTTCGCAGTGACTTGCGTGATGTCACGTTCATCGCGAGCGTTGTATTTTTTGGTAGCCTTTCTCTGAATAGTTGTTGTACGACTTTGTCGATTAGTTTGACGAAAGTAGAGACACGACATAATCATTTAATCGAGATGCAAGAAAAGTGCTGACAGCGAGAATTGGTAAAAACTTTTTATTAGTAAAAAGTCTTTTTAGTAAAATTTGGTTAGTAAAACTTCCAAACTGATTGATGCAAGATGATTATTTGTCATTTATTGTAACTGTAAATATACAATTCTAGTTTGTGCAAGTTTGTTATTTTGATGAGAACTTTGAAATTACTTGTAATGCATAGTCATACTTGTAACTCATACGACAATTGTCACGTTATCGTAGTACATTTCAATATCTTGTACAGAAATTTATTACTTATAATTATTAAACCAAAGTGAGTAATAAATTACTAGTAGCCTATGATCCAGTAATAATTTGGCAAATTACTGAAAATTATTAGATAATTACTAAAAACTTATTTCTGATGAATTACTGAATAAATTACTATTAGTGAGTGCTTAAACATTTGTTTGGGATTTATTCGGAAAGTAAGTAAATTTTTCCAAAATATATTGGATTCTCTTTGGAAATTTTATATCAATTTCAAGTGGCAATGTTGTGCGATTTAAAGTCAAGACATAGATTCTATCTAGAATTCAAGTGGAATTTTTTACTAAAAGAACTCAAATACCACTAGTACATAGTTTTTTTTTTTTTTGGAAGAGAAATTAATTCGAGGTGTTACTCAAATTAAGTTTCGAAGGCAAATTATCTCGCCGATCGACTGATGAACTCTATGGAAAAGAACCAGACCTAAAAAACTCTTAAAGATGATTTCAACTTGACATTTTTATATTTGCAGCCCCCTTACTCAGTCCGCGAGACCACTTGTTCCTTAATAAATCGAAATTATTTTTATCTACTTATTCTCAAGCTATCTTACACATGTGATTTTATCTATTTAAATTATTATTTTCTTAAAACTATTGCAGTGCAATATATCTGCAACAATGGATAAAAATATTTCTGTTATTGTATTATTATAAATGTGCCAGTAAGTTTTGTCACAGCTAAATCATTGAGTCACTGATTCATCATAGAGCTTCAGAACATAATTTATTGAGCATCCATATTACTGATTCAGTGATTTATTATTGATTCTGAGTAATGAATCACATAATTCCTTTACTTAGCAAGTAATTCATTACATAATCTCTCAATGATTCTTTAGTAATTTATTCCGCGACTCATTTACTGGATCAGTAATTGAGTCGTGTAATTAATTACTGAAGAATCACTCAGAAATTTTCAAACACACATACAATTACTAAACTACTGAAAATTATTGACAGAGTAGTAAGTAAATTACTAAAACTCACTGCGCGATTTAATGATTAAATTATTTAGCGACAATAATTAATTACTGATGCTTTAATAATACATTTCTGTAAGCGATAAATACATAACAGTATACATACAGTTATACATAATACTTAAGCCAATAAATACATACATAACTTAAGTAATATATGTAATATACTTCAAATCTTATTTAATAATGTGTCTAAAATTATACTTTTCTTTACAGCAATGTAGAACAGACTACTGAATCTGTGAAAGCGCTCATAAAACGCTGGATTACTGAAGTATATTCGGCGTTTTATGCTTTGTTTAAACAAATTACCAAAAAAAGCAATACATAAAGTCCTACATAGATATATGTATTTTGTAAAGTGATAGCT